AGCTTGGGTTATTTATCCTGCCCTCCTCTGCTTTGAGACATTTGCTCTAAAACACAGAATTCAGCCCCTTGTTCACAAGCGCATTCAAAGACTGGAACACACCCACATTCATAACCCCTCGTGTCCACTGCACACCCACGCATTGTGAACTTGCCAGGATGCCGATTCTAAGCTGATGTCCACAAGAGAAAATAGTTCAGCATAAGAACTAAGGCACATGAAACTCAACATGATTATTCCCAAAGTGATTATACCAGAAAAATATATACACTACTTCAAAAATCGGACAAAGAAAAGAAAACAAAACACGAACAAGTGAATAATGGAGAAGCATGCGGGAAAGTATGAGAAAAACGATAAGCAGAAGAAAACCAATAAAGATAAAAGTGAAGGATATCTGGAGCATATTTCAGTTTCATAAGTTTCATGGCTCCAGGCTGCACCTGGCAATGCCAGACGTCTCTATCTTGCCAGGACTGTCTGTTTTTAAATGCCAGCAGATGGTGCAGAGAACTTCCAGCTTCCACCCAAACCTCCTGACTTTACTCTTCCCTGAACGTTATCCTGCTTATCAGCAAACATAGACACCCCCTTCCCTCCATAACACACCTTTAATTATAATCTATCTCACACCTTTCCTATCTTAGCAAATTGATGTCCAGTTCAGGAATCTTAATCACCTTGTTTTTCAAAGGTGCTGATTTGTGATAATCTTTAAAGCATTTTATAGCTGGTTCGGTATGCTACGAATGAACAGGTGCCTGTTAGGTGTGTAATTTTACTATAGTTGTTTTAGTCTTTGTAGACCGCAGATGCTCAGCTAGGTGACTTTTATGACCGTTGAGAAGTCTGACAAGCCAGCAGGTGCTGTACAGTGTTGATCACATCTGACTTTGGGGTTGTTTAGTGCTAAATTTTAGTTAATATTTACTGTAAAAAAGTGGTAGTCTGCTGGACAAAACTCTTTTTTGTCTGGAAAATATGACTGAGAACTACTGAGCCCGGTCAAGGTGACACAGAGTTAAACTTAATCTGAATCCTTAGAGGTGTTGAACAGAAATAACCCAAAAGCTTAAAAAGGAGCTGAATAAATTTGTATATACTAAAGATGCCTTTTAACTGCAATTGTCTATATATGTGTTTAATGTTCCGTCAGCATCCTGAATATGCTTAACTTTTGTTCATTTCAGAAGTATTACACCAATGTTTCTCTCTGCTCAGACTGATTAGTTGATTAAAATGTTTATTAGTGTAACTGTTTGTAATTGATAGATACTATAGCTGCATTCAGCGATCTAAAACTGCTAGAGCACAACAATGTTTAGTTAATTGTGATTATTCCCATCATTTTAAAGCCACCATGACAATGATAGCATCATTTTCCCTTTCATTTGAAAAACATCTATGTAAACAGTGTTAGGGATTCCAAAGAAAGAGGCTGTTTTACATTTACATTTAACAAAAAATGTAAACTAAAAGATACAAATATTCTGAGGACGCTTGAAGCAGTTTTAGGAGAAAGCCTCCTTAGGAGAAAGTGAGCACTATGGCGGCTGAAAGTTCCAAACGTGCAGCAAGTGACAAAACGAGCTGCAAAAAACAGGTGTTATGCAAACTCTAAAACATGCAAGAACAAAAGACAAATGCTACAGATATAAAACATAAAAATTCTCCAATCGTTGAAAGTAGAAGGAAACACAATTAAAATAACAAATGCAAAAAAAAAACACAGACGTGCTCCAAAGAATTTTGAGGGAGTTAAAGAAAGAACAAACCATATCAGACTAGACCCTACGCACAAACTGTAAGTCAAGCTGTAACAGAGGATAAAAAAAAGAAAATTGGAGAAAGGAGAGATCCTTTATTTTTTTTCTTGAAATTAACAGACTTTACCCTTACAATGAATTTATTCATAAGAACTAACAACATTCATGGAATGTGCTCATTGAAACACATTTTTGCTCACTAATGTGCACTTTAATGCATGGCTTATCTGCAAGTTGAAAATTCAAACAACTACTGTGCAGAATTGACTCTATTTCAAAATTACACACATTTCGTTCACAAAAGAACTGCAAAATAAGTTGCATTCATTGTCTTGCCAGGAGCAATATCTATCCATACAAAACAAACTGTGGATTTGCATAATTCATATTTTCCCTGATGCTAACGTCTAATTTGTTTTACATTGCAAAAAAAGAAATTGACATCTGCTAATACTTCAATGACATATTCACTAGAAAAAACACGAATAATCTTTGTAAGATCTTCAGATCAATTAACACGTTATTTTACAAGACAAACAGGAACTAATGTTAGCTGAGAGGCCAAGGCCTGACTGATTCAGATTAAAAACAAAGTAAACAAGACATAACACAATCAGGACAATGTTATCATCAAAACAAGATAGTAATCAACAACAGGATTATCCTTCCATCCATCCTGATTAAAAGGTATATGTATACCTTCAGCTAATTCTGGCTATGCCCAAGGATCTCCCAATGCATAGTTTGAAATAAGTTCAAAAGTCTAAATTCTAGGGAAACTTAAGTCGCTATGTTTTTTTTCTTTATAATTGTAAAAGGTTAATGAAAACCTATCAATTTCTCAAAGGCAACATTTCAGATCAAGGATTTCAGATCAGGTCAAGGATTGCAGTACCAGAACAGCTTTATGTATTTCAAAGATTGTTTCCATCTCCAAAGAGGGAAGTTTATCTATTGGATTCTCAGTCAGAGGTTGGAATAGCTAGCAAAATAGCAAAAGGTGGTTTTAATTCGATTGGATATGATGATGGGGTATCAAGGACAGAACAGTGTGCCTGTGGACAGGACAGGTTTCTATAGCTGACTTGTTAGGACAGCTTGACTCTGATTTGTACTTGAGCTTGGTAAAAAAAAGTAGACCTGATCCGCCTGGGGCCATTTTTACATCAGCTAAATTAGCTGTGTATTTTTGCAACATCCTTGTGTGTACATGTGTGCCTTTAAGAGTTTAGGGGATCTCTGTAATTCAGTTGATAGGAACAGGAAATGGAGCTTCTCTGTGAGAGAGTCACAAAGGAAGAGCAGACGGGATAGAGCATAGAAACAGTGGAGATAATTAATCAACATGTTTTTGTAAGTTAGGGAGGCAGTTTTCACAGTGATCACATGTAATTTAGGCCCCTGAGTCTCCTTGAACTATGAACTACATGCATGCACAGATTTGTGTTTGGATCTTTCTCCCTTTTTGCTTGGAATATGCCAGATCTTTTGCACTTAAAACAATAAGTATACCATATGCTATTATTGTAATTTTAAACAACGATTGAGTTAAATTGCTTGTTACGTTGGGCCCTCCAGATGAAAAGCACATGTGTCCTTTTGGTTGATCTGAATGGATAACCATCGTTTGTTCACTCGCCTGTGCGGATATAATGGAAACAAATAGACAGATATTCAGGTGACTGAAGCTCACTAGTTTATCTTAAAGGATATCCTCAAGGATAAACATGGATATCTGAGCCAAACATGCTCCAGTCACATGGTTTCCTCCTGACTGAGGATCATTCATGTGAACTCGATAGCTCTATTATCTTTGAAAGACGTTTATTCAGTTTAATTAGTCAGACTTAGATCGTTTACTGCTTATTCTGGCTGTAAGAAAACACATTATTTTAAAAGAAACCTACATAAAACTACATTGGAGTCTCTGAATACAAATTAAATTCAGTTTAATAAAACATTTTTATCCTAAATATGTGTAGATAGAAACAGTTTACCTATTGAAAATAATAGAAATCAATAAATTATTCAAAAGGCAAACTTACTCAACCTATTCAAACAAGCATATATATTAAAAATGTATGCACTTTTATGCATGGAATGAGCTAGAGACAGAGGGGATTTCTGGGTTTCCATTCTGGACCTTTACTTTTAATGACTTCCTTTTGGATAAGATGAAGTCAATTCATTGTTGGATAGATTTGAAGTGAGTTAAAACTTTCAGATTGTACAGTCGTACAATCGTCCTCCCTTTAGTATATATTTTCTTCTTCTAAACAGCCACTCTCTGTTGCCATTTTTTATAGAAATCCAGCTTTCATGACAAAGCAGATAAAAGAGGTTTTCTTTAGATGGATCTTTAAAGAGCAATTTATTTTCGTTTTGATGCTGAGATGTTTTGATAATTCACAGCAGATTAAAGAGGAGAATCAACTGGCCAAACAACCAGCATCAGCCTTCAAATTGCTGAAAAATGTATAATTACACTGGTCCAGACATCACATCATACATTTCTGCAGTGTTTGGGTCAAATGCATGGAAAACAAATGATCGCCATCAAAGGACAAACAGCTGCTTGTGTTTGGGTGTCCATGTATGTGGTCCATGTTTACACGTTCTGCTTGTAATCCCTCTGTTCTTTCACATCCTCCTGCTTCTTCACATATCTCATAATTTAATCAATTATACTTGAAGAATTCACTGGATTACTAAGCATAAAGAGTATCATTGTAGAAGCAAAGAGACGGGGAGGGACTTATATAGAGCCTCTGTGATATGTCCAGACGGAGCGAGACAGAGCAGAGCACAGAGAATAAGTCATTGTTCTGCACGTCCGCCTGAACTCTGACCACTGTGCTTCATAGTAATGTATGAAATTCCTTCAGCGTCCTCCAAATGATTCACTGTAGACATATCTGTGTTTGTGTCCATGTCTTCTATCTCTATTCTCTGTTGCCGCTTCTCAATGTCCCGGATGTATTCCTTCTTTTAATTACTCCAGGATAATATTTTTCTTGTTTGTTTTTCATTTCCGAATTGGTTTAGAAACATGTCCTGTGAATGTTTACTGCTCCATGGAAGGAAAAAACTAATGCACACTGTTTCTGGATTTCTGCTGGTTTATTTAACAGAAACTCGCTCTGGAGGGCTCTGCAGTAGACTGAAATAACAAATTATGTCCTTCAGCTGTCTTATTATGTCTGACCTTTTGTCTCCTCCTTTTTGTCTTTGCAGTTCTGCTGACTTGTGTGTTGTCCTTCAATGTGGACCAGAAGAATAGCATGTCCTTTGAAGGCCCTCTGGATGACATGTTTGGCTACACTGTGCAGCAGTTTGAGAACAGCGAAGGGAAATGGTAAGCTTCATTTGTGGTAACCTTTGCTGCTGTACAACCTCCTCAATGTTCAGACAAACTCAGTACATGGCAGTCTGAATGTGCATTAACTGTCCTTTTATTTTCCTAATCATTTATTTTTTTAAAACATAAAAAGCATTTAAAAATCCTCTAAAATAACATAATTTCACTAGGGTACTCCCTTAGTTAATGCTTCCTCTTGCATTTATTGGCAGAAACTGTAAACTGTTTACCAAAGTATCTTCACAACCAGCATGTAAATATTCTAAAACAAAACAGCCCTGACTACCTGCAAGATTAACCCATAAACACACTTTTAAAGCCTTGTTAATGCTCATTAAAGTGCGTTTCTGGATCTGGTCGTTAGTTACACCAGGAATGAATGGTTCATTTGCTTCTCTCCAACCTGTTGCAAAAACCACATCTGATTCAAATCTACATTTGTTGTATGAAGTGGTGTTTTGCAACTTCTAGCTTAATAAAGCTCATGTGATAGTCACTCTTATTCACTCACTGCTAATCTTTGGAGTCAGTTGTGACTGCATCATATTTAGGTTCCAAGTGAGGGAATCAGATCAGCCAAAATCCAAGAGAGAAGAGGTCAAACCCGAGTAAAAGCAGGGAGTGGAAACTATAGTAAAGTCTTGCACGATCATGGATTATTGAAAGGATAGCTGCAAACAAGTTGTATTTAAAAAGCGTAATTACCTGGAAGTAATGCAATGACAGGGAGGTGACTTAACCAGAGGCAGATGTATCCACCAGTTCTCCACCCTTAGTGGTGCTGAACACTAAATCATCTGCAGAAATGCAGCACGATGTGGCGTGATCATCATTCGATTTACTGCAGCTTTGGTTCCCCATGATTTCTTTATTGTTCAGAGTGTTGCAATAAATCTAATGCAAATGTTAAGTTGCAAGTTGAAATGTTCAAAAACATTGCAAGAAAATGTCTCCCTGAGAGAAACCTTTTGTATTTTTTATTGAGAAATTTTAAAAATGAACAATAGCTGCAAAAAAAGGAAAAAAAGAAAAACAAATCATCCATTTTGACCCAAACATTTAGAAATAAGTTTTTTGATGCCGTAACTGTATTTTTTGGCATGTATTAACAGCTGTGGAGTGGCGTAAATCATTATGTCATGTATTTCTCACAAGCAGCTGGTGCCAGTCTGAGTCCCATCTTGCTGCACTCTGTTTTAAATGACCCCAATTGGGTTTAGGAATGTTAATAACCTAAGTGTTCAGTGGAAGGCAGATCACCGCCTGTTTTTAGCATCAGTTTACTGACAGGAGGTAGGATTTCATATAACACACATTGATGGTTGATACAGTTGTGTTCAATGACCTTAGATACCTAAAGCAAGTCAACACAAAGAGCAATAGGGCTTCTTTCAGCAAACAGCTAAAACATTGGACTTGAATTGTGTGATGTAAAAGTGAATTGAATTAACTTGTTCTTATTGTTATCTTAATGTGATAATAGATATAATTAATGTGAGCCACACAGGACAATCATGATAAGCTCTTACAGCTTTCCAGGTCAGTTCAACCCTAGTATTTATGGTTCATTTAACAAAATAAGTATAATTAATCCATATTTGAATTGTTATTGGTAGCAGTGGACCACACAGTCGCTCCTTCCGACCTGCCAACTCTTAATTGCTTTAATAGTACGTGTGTTCTGCTTGTTATCATAATTGTAAAAATTATAATTTTTTCCTGTGAGTTTTGGCTTCAGGTTCACTTGGCCAACAATCTAACCCATTTCTTTCTTTTCTTAGGGTTCTGATTGGATCTCCACATTCGGGTCAGCCAGCCAAAAAGACAGGAGATGTTTACAAATGCCCCGTTGGACGGGGGGACAATAAATGCATCAAGCTTGAGCTGCCAAGTAAGAACAAAATATTTCTGTGCTCGTGTTAGCGTTTGCTCTATCCACTGTGTCAAAGTGGATGAAGGTCTGCAAAGTTAAAGTTCCAGCGGTGCTTTTTTTTTTTTTTTCCATAAGTTTTTTTGTTTAATAACTAATCTCTCTGGAATTAACATAAGCCCTTGGTTTATGGAGTAGGTCTATAGACTAAAAACATCTCTTCTGCTCCTTCAGTTATACCTGCCCATGGTAGATTGGCCAAAAATGCCTGCAAAATTTTCTCTTACTCATAATATTGAAAAATGTATTCTAAATACCAATGATAAACAGATGAAAAATAAAGAGCCACTCATCATAATTACTAAAGAAAAATTAGTACTGAAGTGTATATGAAACCCTTATTTGTAAAAAAATAAAAAAAAAATATATATATATATGATAAAATATGAGCAAAATATCATCAAGTCAACAGGCCTTCTGCAACAACATTTAAGTATTCTTGCTGCAAATTTCTCTTACATTTTCCTCATACTGTTAGCTTTAATGAATACATCAGATTCAAGAAGCATTCTCAACTAAAATAAGTTATCTTAAATAAACTTCATAAACGTGATGCACTCCACCTGTGTGTAAGTGAATGTGCGATCTCAAGAAATTTATATCTGCATAATTACCTCTCTGATTATTTCATATAAGGCTCTGAATTTTCGCGCCTCCGTGAATAAACACGAAGGTTTTCATTCATAGAAATGGAATTGAAGACAAAGAAAAAAAACTTTAAAGGTTAGCAGATCGAGGCCTGCTGACTGAGAGCTGAGCAGCACAATTAAAGGGCCAATAAAAAGACCCAATAAATTACAAGAGATGTAAAGGACATGGTTGGACTGTTACAGAAGTAAAAATAACATAAAAAAATAATAATAATATAAAAAGAAAAATAATTTGATCTGAAAAAGTCAATAAAAACTACTGATGGAGGCAGGGGTGCAACATCTGATGTAAATACTCAATATGAGTTCAAGATCATCCAACAACAATACGTTTTGCTAAATCTCCTTTTAATACACAGACACACATGTACTGTACATCTCCAGGCCATGTCTTTAATTCCGTCATCTGCTCTAATTTAACATAGTCAGATGGAGGGAAATGAATGCAAGTTTGACCATTAGAGGAAATATATATATATATATATATATATATATATATATATATATATATATATATATATATATATATATATATAAGTCACAAAAGGGAAAACTAGAACCCCTTTCCTCTGAAACACTGTCCAGCTCATTCTCTTCTGATATCCCTCTCTCCTGCCTACAGTCAATCATCCAACCCTCCTTTTACCCAAAGCTTTATTCTCACACCTCAAATGCTTCATTCTTCTCCTCTGTTATGGACCCACATGTGTCCATGTGTTGGTTTTTCACCAAATCCAAAGATGCCTCCCCCTTCTACCTGTCTGTTTCTAGATATCAGATGACATCAGAACAAGGTCCGTGTCCAGATGGTTTCAGCCCCAGAGTCCTGCATGTTAGAGTTCTGGTTCTGTTATGTTTTTCTTTTGAGTATCCAGTTTTGCTTTACTCCTTGTTTTCTAGTTTAAAGGGTTTAATTCTTATTTTGTTGTGCTTTCCTGGTTATTTTCTGTTTACTTGGTTTCTATTTGTTGCCCTCTGCTGCCCTCTTTTGTTCTCCCTTTTCCCTAGCTCTTTTCCTCTTTTGCTCTGTGCACACCTGCTCGCAGTTTGCTCATTAGCCCTCTCTTTGTTTCTGTCTCCTATAAATACTCTTGCTGTTCAGTTCTTCTTTGCTGGGTCCTTGTCTAACCTCATCAGTCTTCCTTCCACTCGTCTCTCTGAGCCATCCTCCAGGTTACAGTTCTTCCCTTGATGACTCCTAGGTTTTTGGTAACATTTGACTTGAGTTTTCATTATTTATTTATTTTTTTATCTTTGAATTTTTGGACTCCTGGTTTCTCGTTTGTTTTTGGACTTTGCTTTCATTTGGATTTCTGGATTCCTGTTGTCTGTGGTTTTGGACTTTGTTTTAGTATTCTTCATTAAATCAACTAAAAACTCACCTCTGTCTGCCTGTCTCTGCTTTTGGGTCAACTATCCTAAACCAAATCCTGACGCTTCAGGCCTATGCAGAGAGGCTATGTGGGATTTTGCAGCACCTCTTCAGCTTTAGCCTGATTCAGGAGACAGTTCCAGTGATGTGGAAGACCTTCTGCCTTGTTCCTGTACCTCAGGAACAAGGACTATTGGACTCAGCCAATAGTCTTCAATGACTATAGACCTGTTGCCCTGACTGTTAAATAAAAAATGTCTTTAGGCGGTTAACCGACATCTGCTGAGTTTAAGGTCTGTTCACCGCTATTAAAAGCATTCTAGAAATAAGGATATCAGGAAATTGTCAATGATGACTCATACTTCTTAGCTCAAACAATAAAAAATAATACTCTTTGTAACACAATTTTACAAACAATGCCCAAGAAAGTAGGACAGATTATTTAAAACTAGTTATATAAGTTGCAGCTGCATGACTGGTTGTGGAGCCGATATTAGATCACAGACATTACAACAAAAAAAACCCCCGACTAGTTAACTCAGAGGGTGCAATAGTTATTTGTAATTCTTATAATTGGAAACCCAGTCCGTTCTCAAGTAAAAGTTCCAGTTCCTCATTAGACTTCATAAATAAACAAAGGGAAGCTGGATGAAGTGAAAAATAGAAACAAACTTATACTGTAAGCTCACATGCACTGTAGATGACCTTTCCCTGTTTCCAGTCGTTATCCTTTAGTTTATCAAATAATTTCCTTGTAAGGAAAAGTACCAATAATTTCTCCTATACAGGAAATATCTGTTCTAAATCCATAAAACCAAAATGTACTAAATGTGTCAATGTTTTATGCGTGTTTTTTTCAAAGTTCATTAACTTACTGACACTTAATCATATCGCTCTTTGAAATAAGATACTTTAATATAGTCTACTTAGAGTAACTGCTCATCTGATTGGGGTCTTAGCTGGAGGATGTTGTTCCATGTGAACAGGAAGATAGATAATAAACAAGGTTTTAACGTTTTATCCTTCTACTTTATCCTAATGAGGTAGATAAACAAAACATATTTGTGGCTCTGCACGAATTAAAGCCCTTACAAGTTCTCCATCTTTGTCAATATAAAAAAAGATGATTGACACATCAGATCTGTAACTGGACATAAGATAGGATAACGGATTTGAAAACATCCTTGCCTTTTGAGGTCTCCATTTTTGAGGAGAACACAGATCAGACTCTTAACTCACTAGATTGACAATGTAGCCATTCAGAAATGCAGAAGTATTTAGATTCCCAGGAAAGATTGAAAGATTATCACAGAGGAGAGGGGTGTTTCTCCCTATGTACTCTCGACAATATGTAAAAGGCAATGGGTAGGTCAATGCATTGTTTTTCTATATGAATCAGACATACATGTATATCAAAACCCCTCTTAAAATACAAAAATTTGATCATGAAGAATTGAATTAGCTTGACAATTATAGTCAGATTACCCGGAGACAAACTTTTAAACCATTTTTCCACAATAACAGTGCTGTAGTAGAAAGTTCCATTAAAACTTAGTGTGACACATCAGCCTCAACTTGGATCTCTGTAAATATTTCTTCACTATCCCCATCCATCACGCTGATCTGTCAGTCAGTCTGTCGCTCTGAGCTCACTTACTAATAACACACCCCAGTCCCGCTTGGCCAACTGCGTCTCCACACTGGGTTTATAGTTTTCCCAGCACAGATGAGAAAACCCAAACCATAATGAGGAAGGTTAAACCCTGCGGTTGATGTGTTGTAATCTTGAACCGCTCTAACATACAGTCAAACTGGAGAAGCGAGCTCATTATGCATGATGACATACTGGCAAAAAAGTCATCAATCAACCACAGGTTTTTGTTTGGCTGCTAGGTGGTGTTGAATTATGGTGGCTTTATTTACGAAAAGGTAATTTTAAAAATTATGTAGTGTATTCATGCAGAAATGCTTAGGTAAACAGTCAAAAATATATAATTTAGATGATCTTATATTTAATCACACTGAGGTCTATTTCGTTATTGTCTTAATGAGAAAAAGTGACAAACATATACAAGTGAATTATGCACTGCTCAAAAATAATAAAGGGAACTCATAAATAACCCAATATATAGTTCTGTTATATTTTTCATTGCAAAAGGCCTTCAGTAAGACAGATTTTTCAGATTTTTATCTGAAAATGTAAAAGCAGCAATCTTCTCCTGCACTACTTTCTGTTGCATAGGAACATATGATGAGCACAGGTTCTGTGTCATTCCTTCTTTTAGATGATAAGGAATTTGGAAAACACTGTCTAACAAATAAAATGTCCTTACTGTTAATTGTATTGTTTAATCCAAAGTATTCTCACTATGATTGTTTTTGCACAATTTAATAAACTTTATGATGTTAAAAAAAAGGCAGGACACACATTTTTTTCTCATGACTTGTGGAGCATCATACAGAGTTAAATGACACATAAACGTGTTAGTGAGGCCATGCGAAACCATCGAAAGAGAAATCTAAACTAAACCAGATCCAGATTATTCCCAAGTTGAGGAACTAATTTTAGCCACATGTTGTGGTTACCTAATGATTCAACATCCACCACCCAATACCACCACCACCAAATCATCTGTTTTAACAGCAATAAGCCACATTTAGAGGCAAATCATGGTAAAAAACATTAACAGTGTTAAGCATATATATTGGTGCCTATTATGTCTTCTGGACAGACAGAAGTGAGGGAAAAAGGGGTAGCTGCACTCTTCCTGTGGGAAAATCCAAAAGAGGAATTTGTTCAGCTGTTCGTCTTCTGTAAGTTTTGTTTGTCTCACTGTGTTTATTCACCCTATTTTTTTTTTTTCTCTTTTTTAGAAAACACAACTATTCCCGATGTACACGAAGTAAAGGAAAACATGACCATGGGAACCACTCTGGTGACCAATCCCTCTGGAGGATTTCTGGTAAGCAGGAAGTGTACATATTCCACACCAAGCACAAAAAATTATTTTACTCACTGTTAGAAAACTCTGCAGACCTTTGAACTACAAAGTTTACACCATAGTTCCCATCGAGACTCGCTGTCCTGGGAATGTCATGCAAATCTATAAGTGCACAGATGAGATTGGAACATATTGTGTAAAACCAATTTACTCAGACCTGACAACCACAGGCTTATGAATTACTATTTTGTGCATAAATTTCATCTTGTGCTTCGAGAAAATTCGATCTGATACTATTTGTGAAACAACTCTGCTGTTATTGGAATCATTATCTTATTTTTTAGTTTTTGCTTGTTTATTTTAAAAATAATTTTAATAAAGTTACTCTTTTTATGCTTAAAGAAATACAAAAAAACAACTACATTAATAAATATTTGAGACTTTTGATGATCCTTACTTCAATTTGTTTGAGAGTTGACTGCAACAGATTTTGTAAAGTGGACTTTTTGTAATGCAAACACATTAGTTTGTTTGTAAGTAACACATGGGGATATGATTGGGAGCAGAGTGCAGATTTTAAGCAGGTATTTGTCTTAAATTTAGTCTGTCAGTGATTCCAGGGCTTGACCAAAAAAATGGGGTTTAATTCTAGGAGTCAAGGCTTAGGCCATATGTAGGGGACCCCGAACGTTTTGATGCAGTAGCCCTTTGTGTCCCCCAACAATGACCTGAAAAATAAACTTGTGTAATCTCCCTTTTACATCTATTCACATGGTAATATATATTAAATCTGTTTAGCATAAAAATTAAATTTTCAACTGTATATTTTCACTGTATAGCAAACTTTCCAATAAAGCGTTGACAATAAGAACAAAAGAAATAAAACCTCTTTCAGTTGTGTTTTTAATTAGATGGGGCTGGACTAAAGAGGCAAGTCAGAGTTTTCTGATTATTCTGTCACCTGTGGCCAAAACACAGAACTATTGCACTCTTTTGCTGGTTCTTGACAAGTGTTTTTTTTATTTTTTTTTTTTACTGTTTTCACCTTACGTGGAGTTGCCATTGGTGTCCGAGTTGACCTGGATATCCACAAAATCCACCTTCAATATGATACTTCGACTGCTAGATTGGACCCTTTAACATGTTTGATGTCACAGCTGCAGAAAGAGCGTGCTTTAGAGCTAAATAACGTTCAGGGGACATAGACTACAGGCTCATAAATGCTTTGGCATCAACCACGACATTCATGACATTGTCTAAGTGAAGATGTGCTCATTGTTTTGTTTTGAGTACCTTTGGGGTTTAAAAGGTAGACTTATACAAATCATTGTTAGACTTAGAAAAACTTTACTGTAATTTTCTATCCACAGAGTGTATACAAAACGAAATTTAATTTTGTTCAGCTCTCATGACAATGACAATGAGGTGCAGCAGTGATGAAATGTAAATATTTGGAGAAAACCCCCCAAAGATTTTCGAAAACAAACAAGACATTCAGGTGCCTTGTCAGAAAAGTTGGAATAGTTATTTATTACATTATAAGGGGAAGAACCAAAGAGTTCAGTTTCGAAGTTTGTCATCTCAATGGGTGTAAACAGAAGTAATATAATTTTCATTCTGCTGCACCTAGTGGGGACCAGGCATTGTTACCTACTAGATCAGACGGTTCCCACAATGTGCTATGATTCATTGTAAATGGTGCCCACAATGTAAGAAATACACCCCAGCACACACAAATATTTTATAACAGATATTGTTGTTGAGAAGGAAGACAAGTCTCTGTTTTTGTTGAACATGTGGAGGCCTTTAGCAGTTGGTTTGCCAAACTTCACACCTTCACAAAACAGTGAGATTGTGGGTAAAACGTTAGTTGTATGTCTCTCAGTGAAGAAAAACATTTAGATTATTTGTCAAAGTTTACTACTGTAAAATAGTATTGGTTTCCATTTCAAATATAATTCTTGAGTACTTTAAAACTGCATCTTCTCAGTTTTCCTGGATTTGAGTAGTTCTTTCCTCTTGGGATCTTTGTTTTTGCTCTTTAGTAGCCCTGAACATTTCTTCACCCATCACCTCAGACTGGTGGAAAGCTAACCAGTCACAGTCCTGTGAGATCCTCCTTCCCAGAGTTTATTTGTATGTGTGTGTCTCTTGTCTCCACAGGCGTGTGGTCCTCAGTATGGCTACATGTGCGGCCAGCAGCAGTACATCTCGGGAGTTTGTGCGAACGTCAGCCCCTCCTTCCAGATCCTAAACTCCATAGCTCCTGGAGTTCAAAGTATGTAGCTCGCCTGAGTAATGTCCAGCCACTCTTCACAGGACATGATGTATGCATACAAATTATCTGAGCAGGATAAGAGATAAGCAGTATCTACCAATCATAGCAGTACCACCCAAGACCCCAACATCAAACTCACCCTCCCTTACAGGAGAGGAGGATTAGAGCATTCCTCTGAATGTAAACTTGTCTGCTACCCTTTATTACTCTCTGGCTTGGCCCAGCCCAACTCTTCTGCTGCATTGTATGCCCAATTTAGGAGACAGTTTACTGGGACTGCACTCTCGTTCCCTGGAAGGAAACAACTAGGAAAAATGTTTAGTGTAAACAGACTCCAGTCATTGCTTTTTTTTGTTTCCTATATTTTCTTTTCTTTTCTATTTATTTACCAGAAATAAATATTGAAATTTATTGTTTTGAGCTCTAACTAGAATTAAACATTATTTTTAAAGGATTAGAGCTGTAGATAATTAACAAATAAATAGTGTCTTTCATTACCCTGAATAAGTATTCCTGTTATTATCCTCTTTATTTGAGATTTCAAAATTATTCAGTACAATTCCTTTAATTAAATGTTGTGCTTCTAGTTAATGTTGGTAGCAGTTGGATTATTTTTAGACAACTCAGCTTCCTCGATTCTTCTAATTAATGTCGCAAACCTTCCTGAGAGATTCACCAGAAATGGATTTTGGAAGCACTCTGAGCTCACTGTTTGCTTAGGAAAGGGTAGTGAACATAAATTGATCCGGGTGATGAACAATAATTGGCAGCATGGCATTGAAACCATGCTCACTTAATACTAATGGGCTGAACACATGCCAATAATTCATCTATTAAACCATGATAACACCACTAGCATAAACCAAGGCTAGTCACTCAACTAAACATGATCTCGGGTGTCTTCTCTTCCTTAGACATGTCTTTGTTCTGGTTATTATCAGAAATCTCCAGTTTCATACATATTCTGACTTTATCTGGCACGAGCAGCCATGTTTTTTTTTTAAAAAAAAGTTAATTTAATCTCCGCCTTATGTGAGGTGGTGAAATGTGATTGTTTTTTTTTAAAAAAAAGTTAATTTAATCTCCGCCTTATGTGAGGTGGTGAAATGTGATTGCTTGAATAATGGTGTTAACATCAAATTGAACATATGTGCCTAATGAAATTGCCAGTAAGTGTATATGGAAAGACATTAGCAGCCTAAAGTGTCCATTCAGACCTTTATAAAAGGTGTATTGACCAAGGGATATAACCTCATCACTATTAGCCAGTACCCATAAAACTAGACATGTTTTGTACCGTGTTGAACCCCTTAAAACATTGAAAATGTTACTTAAGGCAATCATTGCTCCCCTTTAAAAACACAGACTGAGGTGGTATTTTATATCCTTGAAAAGCTTGATTACTCTTACAAGAAGGTACGACTTACACAGCTTGGTTCTAGAGGTTGTCCATCTTTGGTTTTTGCTGGCATTTATTTTGAGGTATATGGTGTCATTAGACAATTGTATTCTTGCAGTAATTAGTACAATTTATTCACTAATTATTAATTACAAGCTGTTTTTACTTAATTCCCCATACATGAGTTGTTTGAGGATAAGCAGTGTGTGGTTTAGCGTTGACTCTAACATATACTGCACACCCAGATATCTAATAAGTGCTCAGCTGAGTTGAGCTCTTTACTCCTACTCACACTTTCTAGTGCGTTAAGATAGTCCAATCTTTGCAGGGACCTTCTAGAGCTGTTTTGTTTGTTTTTTTGAGGATGGACTTTAGTTTCTGGGGGAAATGGATCACCACTGGTTCCAGAATTTTATTCCAATATCTAACTGCATTGTTTACTGGCAATGAAAACAAGCTTTGCTTGTGAGAGAGATATGGCATCTCTGAGCAAAGATCTGGTTGTAGAACCGTTGAGCAGATTATGACCATATAACTCTAAAAGAAATATTAAAGTTCCTTAGTGAAATGAAGGTTAAGTTTTAAAATTATACTGAGGCATGGTTTAACATTTTGCTTGGAACAAGTTTAAATTTAGCACAATTGCAGAACACATGCAGAAAAATTATTGCAAAAAAGGCCAATCAAGTGCCAGTGATTAAACTATGGCCTTCCAAACTGGAGGACAAAATGAAAACTAAGACACAATAAAACATCACAGTGGATTTTCAGGCACATTTGGATGGCGCTACCTACATAATTTCCCCTTCATTGAAATGGTGATGAATTAGTTTTTCTAAATATGTAAATACAACACCAGTTGAAATGTGTTATATATGTAGTATTTCCAGTAATTTGTGACATTTCAATATGTTCTGATTTTGTTCTAGATTGTTCGAGCAATCTGGACATTGTGTTTGTGCTGGATGGATCAAACAGCATTTACCCATGGCCTGCAATTGTTAACTTTCTTCTCCGCTTCCTTAAAAGCACCAGGATTGGGCCCACCCTCTCGCAGGTCAGTAATACATCTCCTTTATAGCCTAACAGTTTTAGCATTTTAATTTTACTTCCACTGTGACGACAGGAGAGAAGCACTCCAGGAAAGACAATTTGACAAGGAAAAACATTGGATATGGAATAACATTTACCACAATTTCTGTGTGTTTTCCAGGTGGGCATAGTATCATATGGTGAGGATGTGGCTCACCATGTCAACCTCAGCCAGTTTAACAACAATGAAGAACTGATTAAATTTGTAAAAGATCTTCCTCAGCACACCGGGACAAAGACTCATACTTTCTTGGCCATCGATACTGCGAGGTAGGCCCCATTGGCTGCACTTTTAATTTAAGCTTGTCATATCAAGTTTAAAGAAAGAATAATGATTAAGATGCATGTTTAACAAAGCAGAATCAGGCCTCTTTTCTGGAATTACAACTTCTTTATCTGACTCAAAGAAAGGTCAATTAACAATAAGTGAATCCAGAATATAATCAACGTTTTAATGCATTGCATGTGGCGTTAGCGATGTCATTCATTAAAAGAAATACAGTTGGAGCACAAAATGAAGACATCCCACTGAATATAAAATTTCAGTTATCAGGATTTTAGGTAGGAATGGGACCCGTATACATTTGGACTGATAAAATATCGATGCCTGTGAATTAGTGTTTATACTCGATGGTGCTTATTTTTAGCACCACTCTACATCATTTTTGCCTGCTAAACTTAAATCTCAGAAAGTCCAACATCTCACTGGTCACATCAACTCAGTAGATAAATACATGAAGTTCCCATGTAAGGATGTAAAAAATGGCAGGTGGCTTTCTTAAAGTGTGAGTCTCAGATGGAGGACAGTTATGGTGTAAATGTGTATTGCAAACCCATTCAAAAAGACCAGTACTGCTGGTTTGAATCCCATCACCCACTAAGACAGATGTTGGAAGTTGTATATTAAACCTTCCCTAAGAAAAATCTTGCCTCCTCTGATCTAATCCAATGACCTTGCATTTGAGTCACAAATAATGCGTGTCACTACATGATCCATCAGATCATTTCACACTCGCATCCAGATATATATCCGGGTCGTCCTTGACTTTATTTTGTTAAAAATGCCTAAATTACGGTTTCCCTCCCCAAAAATAGTAAATGTACTAAAATATAATGTGTATCTAAAGAAAGAAACAACTAAAATGCAGATAAACATGGTTTAATCATATTTTGCTGGACAATTCTTGGCATGCCTGATGATGAAGGAAGCAGTTTAACGAAGAAAATGTAAAAAGCATAAAAATCGTCATTTTTTTTCTTTTTACAGATGTGTATTATTATTCTTTAGCGTGTTAAGGATGGAAATCAGTAGTTTTAGTACCATAATTACATAATTTATGGACACCCGGATGTATATGAATTCGCGCATGCACTGAACGGATCGTGCTTCCGGGACACATATTAAGTGTGTATCAGCGATGCAAACAACAACTTTTAAATATTTAAAAAAAACAATAGTAAAATATCCATTTTATTACTGATTACTGATTATTCTAATACATCTTTTTGTCACCATAGTATCTGGGAACTATAAAAAAAAAAACAGGAGAGAGAGACAGAAGAGCAGGGGATAGAAAGTCCAGGCATAGACTACGCTTTGTTCATCCTACCCACCATTTTGCCCTGATGTGATTAGACAGCTTGTAAAAATATTCAGCCATAATCTGCCAGTTGGAACAAGAAGCATTTAGGTTTCTGTCTTTGTGCAGAATAACAGGACTGTTAGGTTACTGTAGGTTTAGCTTTTTAGACAGATAGATGTACATCAAGAGGACATTTTGCAAGCTCTACTCATAAAAAAAGTTTATTTCCATTCATAGGCTTTATCATTTTTCCATCAATGCCTAATGGGCCAGTCTGTGGTCAAAATAATAATAATAAAAAAATAAAAATAATACTTATATTATATTGTATTGTATGTTAACAAGTGGACATTGTACATTTTAAAGTGGGCTTCCAGGCAGCTGCAAACATTGTAAAATAAAAAAAAGGTATTCAAAGACTCTTAGTCTTACTCTTTTGAAAGTAAACCCTTAATATACTTCTTATATATTCATATTTAATTTTGTATTAAATTAGGAAGGAGGCCTTCACACCAGAGAGAGGTGCAAGACCTGATGCCAAGAAAGTCATGGTGATCGTGACAGATGGAGAATCACATGACTTCCACCTACAACAAAATGTGATTTCTGAGTGTGAAAACGACGGCATCGAGAGGTTTGGTATTGCTGTGGGTACAAATCTCATATTTGAGTTCTCAAACATTTCTGATCATTTACTCACAAACGTATATAGTTTTGACAAACAAACACCTAAATAATCTCAATGGTTACAACTGTTTTTTAAAATGTAATCCTTTTGTTATTGATTTTTTTTTTTTTACTAAATCTGATTATAGAGTCAAACCTATTTTTTATTTTTGCAGGTTTTGGGATACTACAATCGGGAAAATAAAAGTGAAGAAGACGTGCAGAAGTTTATTAAAGAGATTAAGTCAATATCCAGTGAACCAACGGCTGATCACTTTTTCAATGTTTCTGATGAGGTGGTTTTGGAGAACTTTGCAGATACACTGGGGAAAAAGATTTTTGCTCTGGAAGGTAAAATGAAAATTAAGTATCTAACAAGTTTAACTAGTTATCGTTATACATATGCCCAGTAACTTTAATGCGATAGCTTGACAAAATTTACGAAATTCATCCAAATATTGACAAAAGTTACATGAAGTTACATCTACAGAAAATAAATATCAGTCTTTTTAATAAAGTCTCTTTTTTGGTCATCAAGTATTATTTCTAATAACTAATATAATTAGGTTCAATTCCTTTTAACTAGTGTTGCGCCGATGCCATTTTTTGGCCCCGATACCGATACCCGATACCTGGCTGTGCGGTATCGGCCGATACCGATACCATAATAATGTAAAATAATTGCCATCATGGCTTTGTCAAGCTGCTGCCTACCTTTGTGAAGCAGGAAAAAATCTAATACAAAGTGAATCCAGTAGAACTTTTTAATAGAAAGTTCTACTGGATAATAAAAATAAAGAGTTTTTATTGCCTACCAGGAGTGGGTGACAATATTTGAATAAACTTATGGCTCTCAAAATGGTATCGGAACCCTATTTGTTGGTACTCGCCGATACCGATACCACCATTTTAGGGCAGTATCTGGGCCTCGTCCGATACTGGTATCGGTATCGGTGCAACAATACTTTTAACCATGGCTTGAGGCTGAGGTCAAACTTGAGGTGCAGTGCAGCAAAAACAAGGGATTGCAGTACCCACACAGCTGCTGACCAGACCTCCGGTGTCTGTAGCAACAGAGCTGTTGCAAAAGGATGTGGAAAAAAGATGAGGGCTGCCAGTCATCCAAAAATTAAACCTAATTAGCTTTGCATGCAGTACACTGCAAGTTAGTTAGGTATTTGAAAACCAACATTAAGATGTAACAAGAACAGGTTTAGCTAATATAACTGGAGCATCATGGCTATTTTCATGCTAACAGACGTCTTCATTATGTCATACAAATTATGCATGATCTGCAACTAGAATGCAATGTATTTGTGGATTTTTTTCTTAAGCATTTTGTAAAAGGCACCTTCACTTATTAAGACTTATGTTCATGAAGCACTTCTGATCCTTAATTCTTTTTTAGTTTGGAGGTTATCATTAACATGAACATATTTTTGTGAAACTGTATTTTCACTATACGATAGATTAATTTTGTGCTGTTTATCTATGTAGCATTCAACCCAATATGCTCTATCCTTCTTCAGCTACATCTGGAAATCATACCTCCTCCTTTGAGATGGAAATGTCCCAAACTGGATTTAGCGCCCATGCTTCTAAAGTAAGTCCAAAATCTAAACATCCAGGTCTGAATATTAAAAACAAAATGTATGCTCTATTAAAAGTCAAACATTCTCTAACTGTTATCTAAATATGACTGTGGACATAGAATTGCCAGATTCCTCAGCCCACTCTGCACAGACAGATGCTGTTTTGACTGAATGCATCAGACTATTAAAGAAACACAAGATATAAAAAACACAGATGATGATTTGGGAAGCTGAATCATGTGGTTGTTGATTTTCCTCCCTCACAGATTACAAAATTTCATTCAATAGGTATTTCCTGCAGCGGTTTAGAACAAACAAGATCCTACATCTCCTCTTCCTCTTCCTGACTTGACCCCCAACCCCACAATAGTGCTTGAGGTGCTTTCATCTCAATACAGCCAGACAAAATAAGCTATGCAAATGACGACTGAACATGCTACTGAACACACTTCAGCAGCCATAGTGTGACTCACTGAAGTTCTTCCCTAATGCAGTGTGACCAGCTATCTCAATTATGATTGATTTGACCCCACCTACTCTAATTAGATCTCATATATATATGCTCAAAATGACAAAAGTTGTGTAAGTCATCATGTTCTAGAGATGCTGCTCTGATAAGCTCCTTTAGGATTGGCTGTAAGAGAGCTATGACTTAGATAGAGCAAGACTACAACCACCAGCATACAGCAAAAGCTAAACAAAAATAGTTAAATGTCAACAAGGTAAATTCTCTGAGTTAAAATTTGTGATTTGAAAGAGTTGCCCCCACTCTTATACGTGGGGTTTCTCTCAGTTTTCATTATGCTGTTTGTTTATTAACTCCCTGACCCTCAGAGTCCTTTAGAGCAGTGGTCCCCAACCACCGGGCCGCGGACCGGTACTGGTCCGTCGGTCATTTGGTACCTGGCTGCACAGAAAAAAGTATATATATATATATATATAATTTATCGATGATCAGTCTGAGGGATGTTTTATTTTGAAAAATATTTAAAAAATTGCGGTATTCTATCCCAATTACATCAGCCGGTGCATCTGTGCCTCTTGACACAGGTTAATTCAGTTCAAGGCTCATCCTATCTATAACATCCTATCTTTGTGAAGCGGGATTTTCAGCCTTCCAAAACAAAGCTACAGAGCAGACTGAACATCAGGAGCACACTTCGTATGTCATTGTCTCCTAGATGGGACTGGCTTGTTGTTTCATTTTTATGCTGTTGGTATTTGATTTTATGCCAGTCGTATCATTTTACTTGATCGTATTTAATCTCCCCCCCCCATATGTCTGAGATATAGCGGTCCGTGGTGCAAAAAAGATTGAGGACCGCTGCTTTAGAGAACAGTTAATGTTACATGACAGACAGATTGACTCTTCTAAACAAATAAGGTTGAATGCTGGAGGAAATGTATTACTCATTCTCAGATTTCCTCTATTAAAGTCCTGGAGGTCCGGTGTTTTGCGTCTCGTACATGTGTCTCTGCTTCTACACCTGGATCAAATGGCTAAATTACCCCCTCGGGATGCAGGCAAGCGCTGAATCAATCTGAATACCTCAAATGGTTAAGGACATATAATCCATCCCAGAAGTGCATCCACAATTGACATAATAAGTTCTGTCCTAATAGTACTGGTAGCAAGAAAGGAACAAGGATTTAGAGCAGTATGCGTTCTAGCGCCTATTCATTTCACTGCTGTAAGATGCTCATTCACTGTTGAAAAGCTGTATGCATTGAAATTTCGTTTTAGATACACTTTGTGATTACATAATTACAATAAAATTTGTCTAAGTCATTCATTTAACATAGGGGCCATCCTGACATTCTTAGCCACTGCTAGGAGCTATACAGCTGCCCACAATCCTTTACGTTACAGGGCATATTGGCACAGCGAGTTTACTGAAGCTACATGATTTTCTTCTTGTGTATTCTTTATGATTCATGCTAATGTCCTCATATGCATATGTTATGGGTTTTATAATGCAAAGCTTCAGCTGTTTGTTACATCTGGTTAGCTTTTGTATTTCTGTAGTGCTTTTCCTGAAGGCTGTAGTCTCAATTTTACCAATAATCATTCATTCCGTCATGTAATGACGTCAGTCAGACTGGGGTCTGTTCAGATTTAACAAAGCAGGCCAAATCTCCTTTCCTCCTTCTGGATAGTGTTTCAGCTGTTGACCCTGCAAAAGGTGAAGAGATAGGATCTAAGAACAGGGGGTAGAGGCTACAATTTGAGTCCTGATTGCCTGATTGACTAAGGTGTTTTGAAACGGAGACCTCTGAAACCAGAATTGAGGAACCTTGCACTAGTTTCTGTTTTGGGGCTTTGATGTCGGGAGCATGTCATACTTTTCATATTTGTATTTGTACAAAAAAGGTGAAATCCATCCATGATTCTCACTTAACAATCATGAATCACTTTTTGGGTTTGTAACAGGAATTCCTAACATATGAGCTCTAGTTTATGGGTTTAATGTTAAATGTGGAAAGAATTAAACTCTTTGACTGCCTTGTCAAACTCCAAACTCCATTTTGCTTATTTTATTTATTTATTTATTAGACAGGGACAGTGTACATTAAAAGGCATTCCTGTAAATGCACCAGAATTAGCCAAAAGGCTATTTTTCATCTGTTGTCCCTGGACAGATCTTAAATTTGTCTACTTAAAAAAAAAACACAACAGTAAACATTCTACAATGAAAAATACAAATATAAAGTTCAGCAAATGGTAAACCATTTGGTTGACCAGGTATTTAAGCGGTCAACGGCATAAACAATTTTGCAAAGCACTGTGCATCTGTAATTTAAACTTTTTATATATATATTTCTCTATTACCTTTATTTTTTGGCTCCTTTAATATGCAAGTACTTCTTGAAGCTGGTGTTAAATCAGTTTAGAAGCCCCTGGTCTCTTATAGCCTACCCATTTGTTCTTACATTGTCTGTGTTGTTTCCCATAGAACGGATTGTTACTGGGAGCAGTTGGAGCATATGACTGGAACGGTACAGTGGTCATGCAAACTGATGGCACTACAATTACTCCCAAAAAGAATGAGTTTTACAATCCAGAGGAGATGTATGGAGGACTGGCAGAGTACTTGGGTGAGTCAATCTTAAGATCACACAGGGACATATTTTCAAAAGGTTTTCCATGTCTTACAACACGTGCAACCCAGTTTCTATGCACAGAGCAGATCTTCAAAAAGTTGCAAAGTAATTTACGTTTGCAATTCATCAGGCAGTCTTTTTTGTATGAGTGTCTTCATTAATATGCAGGTTATGTTTGAATGAAAACCATGCAAACTTATAGGTTGAGGATATGCAAATATTTACCACATGAAAAGTGAGCTTTTTTAAATCTGAAACTCAACTGTGGCTTTCTAGCACGTTTGAAAGTAAGGTTTGAAAGGAAAATTAATTCCTAACTATAACTAGTTTGACATTCTCAATACTCCCATATTCAACCTAAAGCGACACCAGGTCAGGGTGTTTCCTATTTGAATCAGTCTTATTTATGTGCAACAGAAAAAAAATGAACCTCTGCTCTGATTGGTTTCCTCAAAAGTCTAAAACTGCAGCTGTCAGCACACAAACCAACCACAAAGTTTCCAAATGAGTTAATGTAATGTGTATTGTATCACAATGGGGAAATTCCCTCTCTGCATTTCACCCAGCCCCTTGGGGAGCAGTGGGCTGCCCTTGTGTGTCACCCAGGGAACAGTGTGGGGTTAAGGGTTTTCCTCAGGAACCCAGAGTGGATGCTGTGGGGATTGAACGGGGGTACTTGCAACTTTCTCAGAGCATAAGCGCACTGCTCTAACCACTATAGGCCAATGCAAGAAAGGAAGCTTTGCTGTGAATCCTACACGAAATACAGAGCAAAATATGCAAGTACTTTTTTCTTAAAATAAGCACATTTTTCTTGAACTGTGGAGGAAACTGAGACAATTTGCCAATTGAACAAGACAATTTACATTTAAAATAAGAAAAACAATTTTATTGTCTTATTTCAAGTGCATATTATCTATTTATCTTATTTTAAGAGAAAAAAAAAATTCTGTTGGCAAATCATCTTATTTACCTGCTCAAATTAAGGCGAAATACAGTTAATTTAAGAAAATTTTACTTTTTTCAAGATTGTTTTTGCAATGAAGGTTAACATGACCAATATTCGCCTCTAACAATATAATCATTTTTTTTCAAGTAGGTATCATTACCTACAACAGGAAAGTTAGAAACTGATCTTTCTTTTACAGCCACTCTCAAACTACCTGTAGGACATGCAAACTGCTCTTTTTAATAAGGCAGAACCAAACCGGTTTGGAGGTCTTAAAATTTGTGTGATTAATCTTTGTAGATCCAATGCAACACAGCCACCTATTTGATGCACAAAAACATAGTAACTGCCATTTACTGGTCCTTACAATATTTGAAGATCTGACCCATAGTCTATTGATGTATACATCTTATATGTAGAGATCATGATCCTGAAATGTTTTGTAGTTGTGTAGGAGAACTGCAATCAACTTTGAGAAATATTATCTAAAATTTCTATTTAGATGACTATATATATATATATATATATATATATATATATATATATATATATATATATATATATATATATATATATATATAGTCAACTGTGATTACACTGATAAGTTAAATACAACTAATAAGTTAAATACAACTACAAAGTAAATATGGAGCTTTTGCCACAAAGAAGAAAGACAGGTAATTTGACAGCTGATGCCTTTCTCTCTTTTTCCAATAAAATATATAAAATAAAACAAAGTATACAGACCATTCTATGTTCTTGCCTTTTAAAACAACGACAGCCTCTTTATAATAAAATGATTTAATCAACATGTCTTTAGATGGAGAAGATATTGGTCTGGTTTATACAGTACACGCAGCTATTGGCACATGCCCTGAGAGCCAGACTGCAGCATGCAGGGATGTTGTATTTCTTTCTTAGGAGATGTCCATGCTTGCCAGTTTCCACTGGTGTTTTATGGTTCTTTACACAAGTCGACATAAGAAAAGCTTGGTGGAGGTATTTATAAATATCACAAAACGGCAGTGTAGGACAGGGCGGTGTAAAGGACAGATCTGAGGACCCAAATGTTCAGCTAAACCCAAAGACAATTCAATTGTAATTACCGTATTTTCACGACCATAAGGCGCACCATAGTAAAAGGCGCACTCTCAGTTATGTGTCCCATTTCTGTATTTAACACACACATAAGGC